CTCTAACTTAACCTACCCTAATCTAACTTAACTTAACCTACCCTAATCCAACTTAACCTACCCTAATCTAACTTAACCTACCCTAATCTAACTTAACCTACCCTAATCTAACTTAACCTACCCTAATCCAACATAACCTACCCTAATCCAACTTAACCTACCCTAATCTAACTTAACCTACCCTAATCCAACTTAACTCCCCAAGTCCACCTGATTCTCCTCCTCTCTCCCTCTCCTTCCTCCTTTCCTCCTCACAACAGAAGTACTTCAATATAAGTCATTATTTTCTTCCTATTTTCCCCATAGACAGGTAAGTGTGGTAGGTAATTATAGTGTCCAGCAGGTGGGGTGTGTGTGTGTGTGTGTGTGTGTATGTGCGTGTATGTGCGTGTGTGTGTGTGTGTGTGTTTGTTTCTTCTGTTTCTAGTTTATATTTTAAATTAATGATTAATAAACACACATAACATATATGTGTGTGTGTGTGTGTGTGTGTGTGTGTGTGTGTGTGTTTATTTGGGTAGATGTGGGTGGCTGTGTATGTATGTATGTATGTATGTATGTGGTAGTGTAGGTGGTCCCCAGAATAAGCATGTTGTCGACAATCATCAACAACACAACAGGTAGTTAAAGACATGTCCAATTAGGCGGAGTGAATCAGGATTTAACGAGCCAATTATCTCAGGTAAACACTGTACAGGTAGACGGTTAAAAGGACGTCGTTATTTATATATGGTAAACGTGAGTGAGTGATGACTGACCACTATGACCAGTCTAAATGAGGGGGTGGGGGTGAGGGGAGGGGGGGGTGAGGGGAGGGGGGGGTAAGGGAGGGGTGGGGGGTAAGGGAGGGGTGGGGGTGTGAGGGAGGTGGGGGGGGGAGGGAGGGGTGGGGGGTGAGGGAGGTGGGGGTGAGGAGGGGTGGGGTGAGGAGGGTGGGGTGGGGAGGGGAGGGGTGGGGGGGTGAGGGAGGTGGGGGTGATGGAGGGGAGGGGGTGAGGGAGGGGTGGGGGTGAGGGAGGGGTGGGGGGGTGAGGGAGGGGTGGGGGTGAGGGAGGGGTGGGGTGAGGGAGGTGGGGGTGAGGGGGAGGGAGGGGTAGGGGTGAGGGAGGGGTGGGGGTGAGCGAGGGGTGGGGGGTGAGGGGTAAGGGAGGGTAGGGGGTGAGGGGAGGGGTGGGGGGGGGAGGGGTGAGGGAGGGTAGGGGTGAGGGGAGGGGTGGGGTGGGGAGGGGAGGGGGGAGGGGAGGGGTGGGGGTGGGAGGGAGGGGTGGGGGGTGGGAGGGGGAGGGAGGGGTAGGGGGGGGAGGGGTGAGGGAGGTGGGGGGTGAGGGAGGGGTGGGGGTGGGGAGGGGGGGTGAGGGGAGGGGTGGGGGGGGGGGTGGGGAGGGGTAGGGGGTGAGGGAGGGTGTGGGTGAGCGAGGGGTGGGGGTGGGGAGGGGTAAGGGAGGGGTAGGGGTGAGGGGAGGGGGTGGGGTGAGGGAGGGGGGGGGTGAGGGGAGGGTGGGGGGAGGGAGGGGTGGGGGTGAGGGGAGGGAGGGGTAGGGGGTGAGGGAGGGGTGGGGGGTGGGGAGGGGGGGTGGGGGGGAGGGGAGGGGTGGGGGGGGTGAGGGAGGGTGGGGGTGAGGGGAGGGGTGTGAGGGAGGGGTGGGGGTGAGGAGGGGTGGGGGGGGAGGGGAGGGTGGGGGGGTGAGGAGGGGTGGGGGGTGAGGGAGGGGTGGGGGGTGAGGGGTAAGGGGAGGGGTAGGGGGTGGAGAGGGGGAGGGGGGGGTAGGAGGGTGGGGGTGAGGGAGGGGTGGGGGGTAAGGAGGGGTGGGGGGGGGAGGGGAGGGGTGGGGGGGAGGGAGGGGGGGGGAGGGGTGAGGGAGGGGTAGGGGGGAGGGGAGGGGTGGGGGTGAGGGAGGTGGGGGGTGAGGGAGGGTGGGGTGAGGGAGGGGTGGGGGGTGGGTGAGGTAAGGGAGGGTTGGGGGTGGGGTGGGGTGGGGGGAGGGAGGGGTGGGGTGAGGGAGGGGTGGGGGTGGGGGAGGGGTGGGGGGGGAAAGGGAGGGGTGGGGGTAAGGAGGGGTGGGGGTAAGGGAGGGGGGGGGGGGTGAGGGAGGGGTGGGGGGAGGGAGGGGTGGGGGGGTGAGGGGTAAGGGAGGGGGAGGGGTGAGGGAGGGGTGGGGTGAGGGAGGGTGGGGGGTAAGGAGGGGTGGGGGTAAGGGAGGGGTGGGGGTAAGGGAGGGGTGGGGGTGAGGGGAGGGTGGGGGGTGAGGAGGGGTGGGGGGGAAGGGGGTGGGAGGGGGGGGTGAGGGAGGGGTGGGGGTGAGGGGAGGGGTGGGGGGGTGGGGAGGGGTGGGGGTGAGGGGAGGGGTGGGGTGAGGGAGGGGGGTAGGGAGGGTGGGGGGGAAGGGAGGTGGGGTAAGGAGGGGTAGGGGGTGAGGAGGAGGTGAAGGGTGGTGGGTAGAGGTAGAAAAAAGATTTAGTGGTGAACGTTTGAGAGAAAACTTGAGCCCAAAAAGTACACACAAATAAAATTCTCAGGTATTTCTGGACCAAAAATGTTGCATCTGTTGGAAAAAATGGCTGAAACATTTTTTGGGGGGAATTGTGAAGTAAAAGTATTTGAAGTTTGTAGAGAAGGGAAGAGCTTAGAGCATTGTTGAAGGTTTGGTCGTGTGTCAAGTGAGACCAAGGAATATATAACGCTACATTACAATCACATCAACGTTTAAAAAACATTATAAGGATTTTACAGTGAGACCTCTATTTAACGGACAATATTGAGAGGAAAGTCCGTTATATCGAGGGTCCGTTAGATGTGAAACTTCTATTAACGTACTAATTTAACCAGAATAAACCTCACTCAACTTATCGTACAAAACCAAACCTGACCTGACAAACCAAACCTGACCTGACAAACGAAACGAAACGAAACCTCAATTCACCTGTAACTCTTCATCAACCCCCTAAGACAAGATCCTGCCGGCACTCACCTGTAAAGCCGCCACCGCCGCCACCAGCCTGACAGCCGCCACCGCCGCCACCAAAGCCGCCGTAAGTGGTCCAGTATTTGGTGTTCTCCCCACAAGGCCGGCCGCCGAAACCACCGTTTAGGAGAGACTGACCTTCTTGTTCCTTCTTGCGGTTACTCCAGCCCCCAGGGCCTGTGTGTGTGGGAGGTGGGGAGAGTGAGGTGAGGGGAGGGGCAAGGGGTGAGGGGTGAGGAGGATAGTGTGAGGAGAGTGAGGCAGTGTGTGTGAGGGGAGGTGAGGATAGGAGGTGAGAGTGAGGCAAGTGTGAGGTGAGTGTGAGGATAGTGTGGGAGGAGAGGAGGCAGTGTGAGGTGGAGGGGATGTGTGGGGAGAGGAGGATAGTGTGAGGTGAGGAGGATAGTGTGGAGGAGAGGGGATAGTGTGGGGTGAGAGGAGGCAAGGTGAGGTGAGAGGGAGGCAGGGGAGGTGAGAGGAGGATAGGTGGAGGGAGGGGGCAAGGGAGGTGAGAGGAGGTGGGTGGAGGGTAGAGTGAGGGAAGTGTGTGAGGGGAGGGAGGATAGTGTGAGGAGAGGAGGCAAGTGTGAGGGGGAGGGGAGGATAGTGTGGAGGTGAGAGAGGAGGTGGTGAGGTGAGTGGGGAGGATGTGTGAGGTGAGAGTGAGGATAGTGTGAGGTGAGGGGTGGGGTGTGAGGTGAGTGTGAGGAGGTGTGAGGTGAGGGGAGGATAGTGTGGAGGTGAGAGGGAGGTAAGTGGGGAGGTGAGAGGAGGATGTGTGAGGTGAGAGGAGGATGGGTGTGAGGTGAGAGGAGGTGTGTGGAGGTGAGAGTGAGGCAAGTGGAGGTGAGAGGGAGGCAAGTGTGGGAGGTGAGAGGAGGATAGGTGGGAGGTGAGAGGGAGGGGTGAGGTGAGAGGAGGAGGAGGTGAGTGAAGATAGTGTGGTGGAGGAGGATGGGAGGTGAGGTGAGGCAAGTGTGAGGTGAGAGTGAGGCAAGTGGAGGTGAGAGGAGGATAGTGGAGAGAGTGAGGCAAGTGTGGGAGGAGAGTGAGGATGGTGTGAGGTGAGAGGAGGATAGTGTGAGGTGAGAGGAGGAGGGGAGGTGGAGAGGAGGGATGTGGAGGGAGGAGGATAGTGTGAGGTGAGAGTGAGGATAGTGTGAGGTGAGAGTGGAGGATAGTGTGAGGTGAGAGGAGATAGTGTGAGGTGAGTGGGGGGATAGTGTGGAGGGGAGAGGAGGAGGTGGGGAGGTGAGAGGAGGTGGTGAGGTGAGAGGAGGATAGTGTGGGAGGTGAGAGGGAGGGTGGGGTGGGAGGGGAGAGTGAGGAGGGTGGAGGTGAGAGGAGGATAGTGTGAGGTGGAGGAGGATGTGGAGGAGAGGAGGATAGGTGTGAGGTGAGTGTGAGGATAGTGTGGAGGTGAGAGGGAGGATGGTGAGGTGAGAGGGAGGTGGGGCAGGTGAGAGGGAGGATAGTGTGAGGTGAGAGGAGGATAGTGTGGAGGTGAGGATAGTGTGAGGAGAGGAGGATAGTGTGAGGTGAGAGGATAGTGAGGTGAGGTGAGGCTGAGTGTGAGGAGAGGAGGATAGTGTGAGGTGAGAGTGAGGATAGTGTGAGGTGAGTGTGAGGATAGGTGTGGAGGTGAGAGTGAGGATAGTGTGAGGTGAGGGAGGATAGTGTGAGGTCAGAGTGAGGATAGTGTAAGGTGAGAGTGAGGCAAGTGTGAAGTGAGAGTGAGGAGTGTGAGGCGAGTGTCACGTTAGTGGAGGTGAACTTCAGAAATTATTTTAGCTCCCTCTCTCTTACTTTTCTCACTCACTCACTCAATTATTTCACAAATCACTTCGGAAGCTTGAATTAATTTTCCATTTTCCCGCTTATAAAATATATTCTATTTCATCACAATTTTCCCCTTTTATCAAATTTCTCATCCATCTACTTTCGTATAAGAATGGAGGAAACTGCAGCTGGCCTATTGGCCCATACTGGGCAGTCTCATTTTGCTATTTTGCTATTCATTATTTTACATAGCAAACC